TCTGCCTCAACCTTCCCGTCCACCTTCATATGTGGCTTTGGCACTTTTACCTTAAAGGAGGGTATCTTCTCCTTTCCACCAACAACATTCCCGTCTACATCGGCGTGCGCATCTGCCACAGGCATGCCGACATCTTTTAGACCCTCCGCCGTCTTCACTTCTTCATTGGACACATCTTTTTTCTTTGCCATCGGCGCCTTTATTTCCTCATGTGGCGTTTTTACTTTGCTTTTTATTTTTATCTGTGGCATATTGAAGCCTTTCAATTTCTTTTGATGTTTTCGTACTTTTGCTGATCTGTTTTCACTTTGTTCTTCGTCTGCTTCTGCTTTACATTTTGTTGTTTCATTGTTTCTTTTCCTTTCTGCGCTTTCATTTCCTTCATATTTGCCATGTTCTTTTATTCGAAAGTCGAATTGTGGTGTCCTGATATCTTTTTCTTTTATTTCAATTACGTCTTTCTTGGTTATGTCTTCCCTTTGATCTTTTACCCTCTTTTCTCCTTGTCCTTCTTTTTCCATTTTATTTATTCCTGCTTTAGGAATCCCTTTGTTAAAGTCTAGTTTTTCGTCACCACTTCCTTTTTCTAAAATTGAATTTTTTTGCATGTGTTTACTAGTTCCTGCTGGGTTATGCACATTTACGTCAATTTTCAATTTTTGGTAAGAACTTATTGAAATTGTTTGTGCTCTTACTTTATTTGATGAATGCGTACTTCTTTGCCACTATTTCCCATACTTTTTTATTTTTGTGATTCTCATTTTTTTTTTCAAGTACCCACGATTTAATTGTTTCGAGTTGAAGCGATATTGGATGCATCGGATGCAATAAATTACTTTTAATTTACAAGTAATTGGACTTTAATTCTTTTTTTAAACCATTATTTAACAAATTGTTTATTTTTAAATTTGGGCAGTGGTGATTTGCTCACATCAATCCACAATGAAATTTATTTTACCTTTTCTAAAGTAGACTGAGTCTTTGTCAATACGGTATGCTCTACTTTTTATTGGGTGCTTTTCAAAATGCAGGTGTTGACTTAGGAAGTAAAATCAAATAATGCCAATTATTCAAATTTTTTGGTAAACAGGCATTTGTTCTTTTGCGGCAAAATGCAGTGGCTATAACTATTTTTTGTAATTTTGGCACGGTATCAGGATGAGTTTTACAGCACTGAACAAAAAATACTTACAGTTTAATTCTTGAAAACTCATTTTTTACACATTTTTACGATAAGCTAGTTGGGACAAAAGTGATAACTGAATTGTGAGAAATCAAAACGCCCAAGTTGCAAACTCATATATGCATATATCAGGCAATAACAATGCACTTTAAAACTAATAATAAGTTGTGAGATAAAGGCAAGAGTTACTTAAGTTTTGTAATTCACCTTCTTAGCCTACTTAAGCCGGAAGTAAAGCTGTTGTTTTAACTACTTGAAGCGATGATGAAGCCATAAACCTGGTTGTATCGATCAATTTAAAGTAGCACGCAGTTGTGTCCTATTACTACGGTCACGTGAACAAATTTTATAATAATTGCAATTTCGAAAAAAATGGCTGCTCTTTTCAAAAATGATATTAGAATTTTGCAGAAACGTATAACGTATTATCTTATAGATGTAAGTGTTAGGCATGATGAGGGCAAATAATTTGTACGTTAGCGTAGTTTACATCTAAAATAAGATGACCAGCATGTTTGACCGGTAGACGAACTGTTTTACCATCACTAAAGTATATTCAAAAGCTTCCCCAGTCAAATGCTGCTACGTAAGTTGACTGACTGCTGTTAATACAAATTAAAATTGGGATGGCAAGGGGAAACTTAATTTGTCAAATAATCGAGGCAAAAGAATTTAAGCAGTGGGATTTGTTGAAAAAGAACAAACATTAATTCTACAAATGTTATTTTGACTGAACAGATAGGGTTCCATGAATAAACCTGCTTTCACTTCAAAAACGTTTTCCATGAAATCAAATTTTTATTAGCCCATTCTGTGTCACCTTAGAGAAAGAGCAAGGTCTTATAACTGACAGAAAAACCCGAGGTGACAAATCAGTCAACTGTAATTTAGTTCAGTAGGAAAAGAATGCACCTAAGATAACAAGAGATAGTTTCGAGCAGGAGATAATTAGTTTTGATGTAAATGGATAAAAAATGATCAACTTTTTGACGCAAAAAAGAAACTCTAAAATATTGAAACATCTGAGAATAGAACTTACGTTTGACGTACTGTTCTGCTTTGGAATCTTTCTCCCCTCCTATGTCCATGTCTTCTTCAGCATCCTTATATTTCCGTCGAATTTTCTTATGGAATCGTTTGGTTTTGTCACTGAGATGAAGATGCGGTTGATACCAACTAGCCTCCATTGAGTCTGCACTCTCCTCAGCTGAGGTAGGGTCCTGAATTGCTACAGCTGCACTGGGTACCTCCATATCTTCCTCCTCCTCCTCCCCCCTCTTCCGTTTACCATGAGCTGTTTCCCGGAGGGCTTGGTTGACTGGTTTTGCCTCCATAGCAGCAGTACTTGTTGCTGCCGTAGTAGATTTTACAAGAATGACGCCTGCGGGTGCTGGCACGCTTGTGCCTAAGTCGACTGTTTGCTCAGCACACAATTGGTCGCTGGCACCATGTGCGTGTGGCGGCACTGGTTCAACACGGGTTTTCACGGGGTAATGAGAAGGGTGGAAGAGGAGTATGTGTTTTGTGCTTTTTCGTTTGGTTTTAAGGGGCCTGAGCTCCGTTTGGGTTTGTTGGTCACTTCGGGATGAGGGCGGAAAGGGAACTGTGGTCAGGGGTAGTGTTGGGGTTGAAATTGTAGCTCGGCTCATTATTAGGGGGGCAGCAGACTGGGCGGGTAGTAGAACGGACGCGTCTAGGGGGAAGTAGAAATCATCTGTGCTAATGGACGCATCCATAGTGGGGCGAAGTTTGATAGAAATTGTAGAGAGGACAGTTTTGCCCCTCTCCACCATCATCGCATCCTCCGACCGAGGTGTTGAAGTTGTGTACTCGGAATACATGTCTCGTACCACAGGTCGTATATTCTGCTTCTTCTTGGACGTTGTGGTGCTGCTTCTTGCTAGAGAGTGGGTCGCAGTGCTTCCCGGCGAGCTAGTCTCGAAGATACCAGAGTCCGAGTATCCGCTGTGGGTGGATCCGAACCGAAGAGAGGAAGTGCCGTGATGTCGACGCACACTGATACCTGTAGTGGTTGGACTTTCCATGAGAAGTTTATCCAAATCCGAGTCTCCCTCCTCATCTTCGGGTTTGCTGCTACTGGCGGTCGTTGCAGGCGTGATGGTAGACATCTTCTTCTCTTCTCGCTGCCGACGATCCAGAGAAGAAGATTCTGGTAACGGCTCAATGTCAGATATGCCCTTCGTGTCGAAAGTGTGTGGTAGAGCTGTTGAAGATGGTGGTATTACTACTGTAGTAGCAGTAGTTTGCGTCCCCGTACTGAAAATTGGCGAAGACGGCGGGGTATTTTCATGTGGATTTTGCTGCATCTTGGGCTTGCCTCTTTAGAGAAATTGCATCTATATTCACACAACGAAGTGGTAGAAAAGGAAGGGCACACTCGCACAAGCACACACAAGGGGGAATATTGTGTTTGTGGATGCAGGTGTATGTGTGTAAGAGAGGCGCGGCTTCAATGGATGCACGCGTTAGCGAAGCGCTAACACCTTCACGAATGAAAGTTGGAGTTCAGCTGTAGGCACGGGGCTATATGAAAGGCTTGCGTAGGCGTTCCCTGACATGCACGCAAGCACACACATCCGCACGCACGTACGCACGTGCAGTATATCCGGATTTCAATTCGTCAACTCGAGGTTGCAGCACCGGTCGGCGTACCTCGAAAACGCGGTCCTGAATCAGATTGCTGAGGTTTCGTTATGCCTCCTGGCGCAGCATGTCTGTCGGATGAGTTGAGGTGAGGTGATTGGTCCAGAGGAAGCCAATTGAAAGTTAAGAGGGAGGGTTTGCTGCGGCCTTGGGAGATATACACGCACACGCCCGTCTGGATTCGTGCTTCTGAACTTTGGTGGGGCAGACAGGCGGAGAGTGCCACCTCTGCGATCGCTAGGCTTTACATCACGTTGCTTGGCCGTGGCCACATCGGGTAGGCCACGTGCCTGCCCATGTGCTGCATTGTGTTTGTGCGCGTAGGTGGCTCTTGGCGTTCAGTTGCTCCTGGTACTCCACCCTCTGTTATCTTACTCGAAAGCAATCTCCCCCAGCTGCTTACACATGAAACTAGCGACTCAGTGGCTTCCCTTCTGTGGTACACAGGTTTTTTCAATGAATCAGTGGACATTTAGCACAGCAGTTCGATCACTTCATCATTTTACAAACTCATAGTATTGGGCGGAATTTCCTTGAAAATTTTCCGAAATAGTTAGCAGGAAAATCAAAAGCCGTTTAGGTATTTAGAAATTGACATGAAAAGGTTTTGTATAAAGAGAAATGAATTGGCACTTTGGAACAGGTTGGGGGCTGCTGACCGCATCACAGAGAGATTTTCAACTGATCGTTTAGCTAAGTCATTTGCAGGTATGAACATGTTCGAGAGCCGAATACGCCCGAATGAAATGGGCGGTGCCTGTTCACAATCAAGAGGCGTGCATTATCCATTTCTATGCGGCTTTTCATGATCAGTCCAGCAGGTAAGTTTCCAATGCGTTGACAAACAAATATCGGTTTGGTCGCACTGGTCTAGAGGCATCCCAATGTAAGCCTAAGGATAACTGAGTCCGATTCGGGGAAACAGGCTACACATACCTTCTCTGCTATCAGATTATTGGGCAAGTGAATGTTTTCAACCAATTTATAAATGAGTACCGTCGAATAGGATTGCTAGAATGACTGGCAATGCATGAACTTTATATTTATGGCCCTTGGAATACATGGCCGATGCGTATTTCCGAGACCAATGGTTCAGAAATTTTGATTACATTGGGTCTACAGCTGTTGCATGGGTGCCATTGTTCATTAGGAATTCATCAGCTGCTTCAAGCAAATGATAAAAAACTCTACAAAGAAAAGTATTGTAGTAGGAAGCACTTGGAAAGGGCTCAAAACGAATTAATGAATTAGTGTAATTAGAGTTTAAAAAAAAATGAAACCTGGTGATGGTTGGTAACACCTCATTTCAGACACCAATGCTTCGGCTTTGATTTAGTAGGCTGTCATGAAATTGGGTAGACAAAGGCCCCTTCCAACTTGGCATTAAGTTGTTTACCCAAAGATCAGTTGACACCCCAACTATGAAGACGTCACAGCGACAGAAGAATTTGAAGGTTTAGAAAGAGCCTGAATATTACAGACAGAAGGGGAGACAAAGCATTCGTCACGGGAGGAGTGGAGCATCAGATATGTCCTGGCAGTCAAGTCTGCTTGTTTTCTTTCACTCGTGTTTGAGTTAAGCCTCCTCACCATGATGAAACCAAATGAGACTTTCTTTCCCACTTCCTGATAAAGTGAGACTTTGCTTTCGAGAAGTTATGGGGTTAGATGTAAACGAAGTTGTTAAAAGGTTTGCAGATAGATTTATAAATGTTAATGGGTATTTAAAAGTACAAATTGGGTAACAACATTAACCGAGGAGATTTCTTTATCTACTTAAGAACGGCTTTTACATGACAATGAAAGGTTTCAAGACAATTGTGCACTTCGCAATCCACCTATAAGCATTGAAATAAAATAAAGAAGAATGTCTTTTAGCCTCAAGCTGATTTGGTGAAGAGTTGCATGCCCTCTGGCCTACCTACAAGTACTCCAATTTTGAATTGCAATTCTTTATCCCACCACTCCAATGAGAGAACCAAATATGACATAGTGAACACAAGTGGTTATGCCTCAACCGGAAAAGTCTTCATTTTTCAGATCCATTCAATTGATATTTTACGATGGGTGCAGCCGTTTATGTTATGCTGCAGAGTTGGAAATGTATTCCTTGAATGCAGTGCCACCTGAAGGTCAAAGCTACTGAAACTCAAATACTGGGGCACATTTATAAGGACGGTCTTGATACAGAGCGCTTGATATGCAGCCCTGTCATGTGAGCTACTGGTACTAACCTGACCTTCGTGTTGTGCCGCGACGAAAGACGAGATCTCTTACACCAATCTAATGGTTGAGCCAACTGCGTAAAACCCATAATGGGTGCCATGCATAATACTGGTGGCGCTAGTATCTCTCACTCTGCACCTGTGCAAATGGATATGCGTTTTGGTGGTTTACATTTACCTAATGGCTTCTTTTAGTTTGTCCATGCGTGTGTGTACCAGTTTCAAGCAAATTACATTCTGGCGAGGTCTGTCGGGTGTCTTAGCAGCAGTAGACACGCCGGCGATAGATGACACGGTTGGCACTACTTGCATAATTTTCTTTCATCTCTCGAATAATCAACCAACTCATCATTTAAAACAGGGTTTTGGGGTTTCAGTGGTAAATTTTAAATCCACTATGAACCTTACTTAGCAACAGTTTCGCAATACTTGACTCTACGCTTAAGAATACCTATTGACAAGTCCGCTCCACTAATAGCTGGTGCACTAGAATCTAACCTCCTCTCAGTGGTGAAATGTCACTTTGCTATAAACAAATGGTAATGCAACTCCGAGTTATTCCAATCTGTATGTAAAGAAGGCCCAGGTAGAATCACCTTTTGGGTGAGATGCATCAATCTCAAAGTCTAATTTGTTATCTACTTTGTTTTTTCAACCCATAGAACTAGGTTAAAAAATAATGACTCACAAATGTCAAAAGAGAGCCTATGCACAAAATATGCGTCATGTTTGTGGACAAGTGCTACATTTATCCCGACTTTACAATAGACCCTAAAACTCACATACACTACTCACATGAAAGAGAGCTCTTTGTAACCTACGAAAAAGTTAAAAGCCTTTAACGGAGCCCTTAAATTAATAGTCTCATTACTTGAACCCTGGTGGCAGACGTCCATTCTGATAGCCTAAAGGTGTGCGCTGTGATTAACCTTAAGGTCAGCAGGCTAAGCGGTTGACCAGCGCCTCGTGACCCTGCTTTTCTAATGTTAGCGTAAATGGGACTTTCCCAATTCCCCATTTTACCAAGTCTGCATCTCATTCTCACAATCACCGGGCTGTGGATAGGTCTTGTAAGCGCTGTCAAATCATGCGTTGCAATGCCAAAGGAGGGTAGTGATTCGTTTTTCTAATTGCCAAGGTGAGTTCACGGCTATTGCAAGTTGATATGAGAGCGCACTCTCATTGGCTAACAGGCCTGTGTGTGTGCTGTTTACGCCTCTCTGACGTGTGTGCAACTTAAGGTATGTGTGTGTGTGCTGAATTGACATTGGGGGCCTAGTGATAGCATCATTTTAAAAAGTAACAGCAAACTATGGAAATTTATACCACTCTTGCTTGTTGGTTAACTTAAGAACTAGACAAATGACCCCCATTTGCAAGCCTGACCGAATGATGGCACCAGCAACGATAGCAAAACCTAATGCACTTATATGATGCCTTGGTTGAAACCTACTTTCATCTTCATCTCCAGTTACATCTATAGCAGCCTTCTCAAGTCAAGTCCAACAGATGCTCACCTAAAATCGCACTAAGATAGTAAAATATGGCTAGCCGAAGGGTACTCCCCAACCTGGTGGCCTACTGTTCTACTGTGGTTAATTATTTAATACTTCATTTTGGAGTCAAGGCAACTTAAGGCTCGGCGATTGCACTTCTGCTGAGCGGCATGGCCTCTGGACCGTGCCAGTGGCCCCGGTTCTTCTCTACTTCTGCAGTACACATACTGCCCAAGGATTATGTCTTCTTTGGCTTTCAGGGAAGTCTCGTGACGGTGCAATTTACTTTGCCGTTAAAATGGATGGTTATAGGAAGAATATGAGATATAAATGCAATGTCTCAGCCTTCATCCAAATCTTTAGGGGAAACGGCAGACTCGTTTAGAATTTGGGTAAAAAACCATCATCTTTACCTTGAAAACCAAAAATTAATGAAATGAAAGCACTTAGGTTTATCTAAACGGGCCCAAGACAAACAAAACTTAGGTAAACCTGCAGCGAGTTTTATGATTTGTCGCCCAAGACTGAGACATACATCCGTTGATGAATCGTTTTCATTTACTGATCTATCAGTTCGTTTCGTTTCTGAACCCTTTTGCAGGATCAGCACAGAAAGATGATATAGGAAAAGGATTTATGTAATCTACAATCACAATGGACAGCAGTTTAAGGCGGTACTCGTACCAGCATTAAATACTTCGTAGTGAAAAAAATATACATTTTTGGAGGTGCCATTTGCGCTTTCAGCTACTGATAACTTGCCATATTTGTCTTCATGTCAGTCCTCTGTCTACTTTTCGCCTCTTTAATTTAACCCATAAACCCAGGTACTTTATGTTCTGGGGACTGGCTCCGGTCCGCTTTTCTCTAGGAAAAGTAACGTTGGTGTCACCACCCCTTTGGTTTAAACCACATCCATAGTGGACGAAACACGTTGGAAATAACTGTACCAATGTAATCTGCAAATAATCAAATCTCATTTAGAACTGGAGGTTAATTAGTGACGTATTGTTGAAATTCCAGTCCAAACACCGATCTTGATTTATCAGGAGGTTTGTGTTTCATCTCTCCTGGGAGTGACGTGGCACATAAAATTCCCATTGCTTCAAAGTCACTATAATTAAAGGGCATATAAAAGGTACTCTCCTACCACATACTACAATCTGGAATTAGTCTGTTTCTAGGCCTTTCCAAGCTGCTAAATAAGCAAATCGAAGGTGAGACAATATTTTGTCACGCATCACAATCAAATCTCCTTCTCGTCAAATAATATCAACAAGTGTCAGAAGCAGGAAGTGCTGAATGTCTCCTATCATGGCAAATGGTAACACTCCTCTTCCCAGTCATGTTCTCACTTCCTCTTTCTCACAAGTCTACGCCATGACCGCGAAAATATGATGACATGCACTCAATCACACCCAAGCTGTCTATCCGTGTCTCTGCCTTCAACATCATGGTTTAGAGGAGGGATTAATAGAGGTTAGATGTACACAGGTAGTTCGATGGCTAACGAGGCTGTACTTTTATGGTAGCACACACATGCTTTCAATGTGTGTGGGTAGGCGTGTTTGCATTGCCGTTGGCGAGCGTACCGAGCGTACACACAGCCATGCACACATGTACCAAATGTGTGTACTTTCGCAATCGTTCCCTTTAATCTCAAGTAAAAATCGCATGAAACGTGGTGCCCCATTCGCATGCACCTCCGAGTGCAGTGTGTACGACGTGAACTTCACCTGTATTAAGGCCGT